GCACTGGGCAGCTGGTCTGGACGGCAGGTGTCCCTGGGGTGACCCTTCTTGGCTCCGGCCACCCTGGCCTCCATGGCCCAGGGCTTGAGAAGGCTACATCTAAAGTTTGGCGTGAAACCTCCACAGGTTTTGTTTGTTGATTAGCTGGACATTTTTACGGGCTGGGGACAGTGCCTGGGCCTCACACAGGCTGGGGGCTCTGGCCCCTGGGCTCCCCCTTCTCCCCCCCTTCTAACGTAGGGGACACCAAGCCAGGGTGGATGTGACCGCAGTGTCACCGTCTGCAGCCGGCAGGCCTGGGCCAGCTGAAGGTCCCTGGACAAGTGTCCAGCTGGGGTCCCTGAGGCCTGGGCACACGGAGGCAGCTCCAGGTCTAGACTCTCTGCCCCGGGGCCTGCCTGCTGTGGCCTGGGAGAAGACGCGGGGCAGCCCGGGGTGGGACACTCACAGGCCCCCGACTGCAGGGTCAGGACCAGGACCAGGGGGCTGACCACCAGGTGCAGGCAGTTGAGGGGCCGCTTCCAGTTCCTGTCGTCCTTGTCTGGGTCCACGACGGGCACGGTGAGGAGCAGCAGGAACTCCACGGGCAGCTGCCAAGCGGGCAAGGGGGGAGGGTGTGGGTGGGGAGGCCGAGTCCTGGCCGGCCACGCACGGAGCTTGGCAGCCCCTGAACAGGACCCAGCGCAGAAGCAGAAGCACCCTCGGGACAGCGTGGGCTGGGCGCATACGGTTCCCATCACAGCGCACTGAGCAAGTGAAGATGGTCAAGTGCATTCTCTCACGTACTGAGGCAGAGGGCCCAAGGCCCAGGCTCCAGGGGACCGTCCATCCCCTTTTGCAGCTCCCAGGGACCCCCTGCCTTCCTGGAATCCTAGCCTCACGCCATCCCAACCTTCCTGACTCTTCCTCTGATGTGACCCTTCTGCCTCCCTCTACCTGATGAGGACCCTGTGGTTACACGGGACCCCCCAGAATATCAGATAAGCTCCCCATCTCGAGACCGCAGACCACACCCCCAAAGCCCTCTGTCCCATCAGGTGGCGCATCCACGGGCTCTGGGGATGGGGACCAGGGTGTCCTCAGGGGTCATTATGCACCCTACCATGGGACCTCGACAGGGACTATAAATAATTCAGAAGCAGGCCCGAGAGGCTAAGGAATCCGTCGACAGCCACCCAGAGGGGTGGGCAGCACCCTGTATCTTGCCATGTCTCGTGGGTCACCAGCACAGGGTGCCCGCCCTACCCCAGGCCCTGCGCTCGGCCTTCAAACATGCACTGCTGGCGAGCGTGGCGGGAGCAGGGCCTTTCCTGCACCGTGTGTTGTGGCCTCTCCCAGTAAGGAAAGAACACATGCCAGGTGCCCACTGGGCCAAGAATGAGACCCTGGGCAGGCCTGCACCACCAGACCTTTGGCAATAGTCACCCTTGTCACTATAAGAGAATGAGAGTCTCGGGCTCGTTTGTTACTCAGCCTTGCTGTGGCAACAACTTGCTGTTACAGCCTCACCAGGGGGAAGGCACTGGATCATCCCCACTGCATGGGGGGAAACTGAGGCTCAGAGGATCGTGATTGGCCCATGGCCATGACGTACCCAGAGCCACCGTGGGAAGTAAACAGCTCACCATTTGCCCCCGGGACTGAGGAGGCCTCAAACATGTCCATGCTGGAGGTTTCTTGGTTACCTCCAGGAGCCCACAGGGGCTGAGGCCAGATGAGGAAGGTGGCAGTGGTGGACATGTCCTGGGGACCCAGCTCGGAGCTGGACCTCGGGGACACCAGGCCTCAGAAGCAGCGGGTGAACAGGCCTTGACCCCTCCCTCGCCCCAGCCCTGGCCCCCTCACGGGGAAGGTCCCCTCCTCCCTCTCTCTGTCCTTCACGGAGGGCAGTGCCCAGGTCAGGCACTGGCCAGGGCTCAGCGGGCCGTACCTTGAGCACCTTGAGGGCCCTCCAGGTCGCCGACTTGCTTCTCCACGCCCTGAGGTCCAGGGGGTTCAGGGCGTGGACCAGGATGCAGGCCGTGCTCTCCTCCTGGTTGAACAGTGGCCGGAACTCATCACCTGTGTGTGGAGGCAGCGCGGGTGTGGCGCTTAGAGGGCCCCTCCTCGGCCCTGGCGCCCCACCCAGCGGGCCCAGGGCGCGGGACTCACCGTAGTCGTAGCTGTTGGTGTTGGAAGACACAGGATCCTCCTCGGAGTCAGACTGCGTCTCTGCAGGAGGCGTCCACAGGGGCTGAGCTGAGAGCCCAGACCACGGGCACCACTTTGGGGGACACTCCAGGACAGGGCCTTTTTTGATGTTGTTGTTAGTACCGGGGATTGAACTCAGGGGCACTCGACCACTGGGCCACGTCCCCAGCCCTATTCTTAATTTCATTTAGAGACAGGGTCTCACTGAGTTGCTTAGGGCCTCACTAAATTGCTGAGGCTGGCTTTGAACTTGAGAGCCTCCTGCCTCAGCCTCCTGAGCCGCTGGGATGACAGGCGTGAGTCACCACATCTGGCAGGCCAGGGCCATTTTAGGGGAGCACGAGTCAGGCCCCTGTATTTGATTCTTCTTGGTGCTGGGGACCGAGCCAGGGCCTCCTGTGCCAGGGGACGCCGTATCACTGAGCTCCACTCGGCCTCCGCCGTCTGGGGCAGGCTCAGGAAACCGTCCCCAGCCAGGACGCCCAGCTCACAGAGTGCGAGTGCGCGGAACTAGCGCTGACCTACTAAGGACATCCTAAGACGACCTGGGTCCCACTTACTGACTTCAGTCCTGTACTTTAGAGAGTTTGGAACCCTGTATGGTCTCAACTAGTCGGAAACTTTCCTTAGGAGGCCCTGGACTCTTCCAGACCTGGAAGGAAACCGGTCCCCTTGAGCTGCAGCCCTATCTCCCTCTCCAGGCCTTGATCCCCTGGCACCCAGCCCACAGGGCTGCAGGAAAGCACAGGGGTGACACTTGACAGGACAAGCTCTGACAGCTCAGTTGGCAGAGAGGAGAGGGAGGGAAAATCTCGGCCGACTTCCCGTAGGAGGAGTTACCAGCACCTGCTCAGCGCCAGGAGCGTCCTGCCCTCTGGGGCTCACCGTCCATCAGCCACATGTGGGCTGACAGCAGACGGCTGTGGGCCACCAGCTGTCCCTTCTGGCACTGAGGTAAGGGAGCAGCCTTGGGGGTCTGGGTTTGAGGGTCCTTCCTGTCTGTGCTCCTCTAGTTTCTTGGCCTCAGGGGCTTGCCCCCCCCACCCCAGGCTGCCTCCTTCCTAGTAAAAGGGGGGTGGGGCGAGGTGGTGCCACCCGCCATCCCAGCGCCTCGGGGACTCCCAAGTTCAAGACCAGCCTGGGCAACGTAGCGAGGCCCTGTCTCACAATAAAAAGTAAAGAAGGCTCCAAGGGCAGCGCGGGGCCTCGGGGCACGTGGCAGTGATGCTGGCCATGACATGGCGGGGAGCCAGGGAACGGGGGCCAGCGGAAGAGGCCTGGGGCTGAGCCAGCTCAGGGAGGGGCCTGGTGGAGGGACAGCGGTGTGACCACAAGGGGATGGGCCTCAAGGGACCTGAGATAGCCCTAAGGGGCCTGGCGGCTCCCGGTCCCCCTGGTCCTCTCCTGGGGACTTGCCTGGTGTCCCCGGCATGGAGTAGACCAGGGACTTTCTCCGCTGCCATCGGTAGATCCAGGTGCACAGAATCACGGTGACCACGTAGAACACGTAAAAGCCCAGGTAACCTGCGCGCAGGGGACGTTGGCAAGTGCCGTTCTGGCCACGGGGCCACCAGCCAGGGCTGGCAGCTCCAGATGGAGCCCGTCCTCCGTCCTGTGGGCCTCACCACCCCAGGCCGGGGCACCAGGTCCAGCCCAGGTGGCCACAGGTCAGAGCCTGGGAGTCGGCCCTGCTCCCTCCTGCAGGGGCCACATCTCGAGGGTCTGTGACCCTCTGTCCAGCCCTGGCCCTGCCTTTGGCCACAGGGCGCCTGGTGCCAGCTCCCGGGCTGCAGGTCCCTGCTGGTCCCCTGACGTGCCCTCCTGGAGCCGTCGGGAGGGAGTGTGGCTGCCGGGATGTGGCTGTGCCCCTGGTCAGGAGTGGGGACCTCGGATGCTCTGGACGGCCCCTCCTGCCCCTTTGGTCACTGGGGCCATTTAGTCCCTGTTGGCTCCGTCCCTGGAATCAAGTCGACCCTCCACCCCACCGGCCACCTCTCGAGTCCCTGAGCTCCTGGCCACCCGGCGATGGCTTCTGTCCCCTGAGCCTGCTCACCCAGGGCCCACGCCAGCGTGACCCTGCCGAGGTAGAGCGCGGTGAAGGTCAGGAACACGGCGGCCATGTAGAAGGCGATGTCCCTGAGGAAGGGCCTGGAGGCGGCCAGGAAGGGGTGCAGGATGGCGATGCCTCCGGCCACCACGGTGGTCACCAGCACACCTGCGCCTGGAGGACAGCGGCCAGGCTCAGCCAGGGATGCCCCGCTGCCAGCTCCCCGCCCAGGGCCACACTCACCGAACAGAGCGCCGATGGCCAGGCCAGCCGTGCGCGGGTCCGAGAAAGCCACCAGGGCGCTGAAGATGTCTGGGGCGCCGTTCCCAAAGGCCAGGAAGGTGACACCATGGGAGCGGGTCAAGGGTCCACCAGGGCCTCTCTGCCGCGAGCCGCCCCGGGCCTCCTCCCCACCCTCCCGCCCTCCAGGGGAGGCCCAGCAGTCAAGGATACTGCCACGTTGTGGGACAGCTTGAGGGAGCTGGAGATGGCCCACAGGTTGGGGCAGAAACTGGGGAGCAGACAGGGCACCTTGCCACCCAGCCACCTGGCCACCAGCCCTGGCCCTGCCCCAGGGCCCCTGCCCCCTGCCCTGTCCGGCCCTGCCCCACTCCAAGGTCCCTGCCCCCTGCCCCTGTCCCCCAGGTCCCAACCCTCTACCCCGTCCCCACCCTCTGCCCCCCACCCCATCCCTGTCCCCTGCTCCTGCCCATGTCCTCCTGCCCCCTGTCCCCTGCCCTGGGTCCCCGTCCCCTGCCCCAGGATTCAGGGGCCATCCCTGAGGGTCACTTCCCCACTCAGCCACAGGCGGGCCCAGGGTCAGACTCACAACTTGGCTGCGGTGACTCCCAGAATCAGAAACAGGTAGAGCAGCCAGAACACCTGGGGGGGAGGGACAGTGGAGCCAGGCCCTCCTGAGCCCCCGTCCCCCCACCAGCAGCCCAGACTCACGTAGAGGGTGACAGCCAGAGGGAGCAGGCTGGGGGGGAAGTGGCAGAAGATGCCCTCCAGGTAGTCCAGGTAGCCCCCACCACTGCGGCAGTCGGGGGTGGTCCTGACGAAGTCGCAGCGGTCAGAAGCATTCAGGCCACACACGTCGCGACACTGCAGGGGGCAGGGGGACACCAGGGACAGAGATGGAGAGGGCCGCTGGACCAGGGCCCTCTAAGCCGGAGGATGTGACCTCCCTCCGGCCTGTCCCCAGGTGCCCCAGGTCCTCCAAGAGCCAACGGCACACTTTTATTTTGAAAGGTGAACTTGTGTCTGAAATTAGGGCAAATAATTCAGGCAAACATGTTTGTTTCAAAAGGAAACAAAACGAGAAGGTTTTAAAATGTTTCTTGCTGTTGTTCTGCAGTGTCAGAGTTGAACCACGGCCTGTGCAAGGGCCCTGGGGTGCAGCTCATCCCCACCCAAGACCCTGGAACCCCTCTTCTCATCCCGTCCTCCAGAATCTCTCCCCTGTCCCCAGTGGCCCCTCACATGATCAGTCTGGAGCACATCCTGACACACACCTCCCGGTTCTGTGACGTCTGTGTGCACACCTGACCTACAAGCTTGTCTGCGGGATGAGTTCACTCTAAGACTCATTTCTGTAACTTGCTTTCACCAAGGAACAGATATGTCCATATTCACATACAAAAAGACACAACAGACGGGTGATCTCAACATGGAGGCACAGTGTCTTTCACCCAGCTCCTCGGGAAGCTGAGGCGGGAGGATGGCAAGTTCAAGGCCAGCCTGGGCCACTTAGTGGGACCCTGTGTCAAAATGAAAAGGGGCTGGGGCTCAGGGTAGAGCACCCTCGGGGTCAGTCTCCAGCACTGCGAGAAAACAGCACAAATCAAATAAAACGTATTTAAATTAATCTGCACCACAATCCTGTGAAGAAGGTACGATCCTGATGCCCATTATATAGACGAGGAGACTGAGGCGATGTCCCCGAGTGGACCTGGGACATCGCGGATTGCAGCCCGTGCAGCTGGAGCTGTTTTCGCTGTTTTCCCCAGAGCTGGGAGTTGAACCCAGGGCCTTGCATATGATGGGCGAGCACCCTACCGCTGGGCCACATCCCCCACCCCTTTTTCATTGAGACAGAATCTCACCAAGTTGCTGAGGCTGGCCTCCAACTTTCAATCCTCCTGCCCCAGCCTCCCGAGTCACTGGGATGACAGTGTGCCCCACGGCGCCAGCTCTGAGCTGGTGGCTTTAACCACCACCGTCCTCGGCTCACTGCTGCCCTTAGTAACTGCGGCAGTTTTCACTCAATGGACGACAGACAAGCAAGGCCACCATTTCCTTATTGCCGGGCACATGGTGTGATTCATTTTCCAACATCAGCAACCACCAACTTCCTTGCATATGACTCTCCAGGCACACATGCGGATATTTTGAGGGAGAGAATTCTAGAAGTGACAGTGCTGAGTCACAGCTTGTCCCACTTGGGCGCCCTCTAGGAGCACACTCAGGCCTGGTGTTTCAGGAAGGAACGGAGGCCTTGGGGGAAGTGGGGTGGAACCAGCCCCGGGCTGCAGGAGCCTGGGCCAGGGCCAGGGAGTGGGAGTTCACGCACCAGCTCAGTCGTGCCCAGCGTGCCCAGCGGTCCTGCAGGACACCAGCCTCTGGAGGCCAAGGAGACCCCCAAAACACAGGCAGGACCCTGATGGTGTGTGACAGAAGGACGGTCACTGAAACAGACCTTGCCAAAGTCCCCTCCCCAAGCTCTCCCACTAGAAAGGGGAACCAGCAGACCTCCACCTGCCCCTGCCCTGGCCACGGGAAGTCTGGCCCCGCCACGGTCACACGGCTGTCACTACAAGCCCCCAGCTGCCGGGAAGCCCAGCGCTCCCTTCATGACCCCATGGCCACACGTATTTCTTCTTTTCCCCCAGGGCGCTGGGGCTCGTTGGGGCTGGCGAGGGACCCGGGGCCTCCTGCATGCTCCTGCAGGTGCTCACCGCTGAGCTGTGCCGCTGGCCCTTCCTACTGACCTGCAGGAGCTCCTGTGACATGGTGATGACCTTAGAGATGTCACCATACGCCTGGGAGCCTACACGTGCTCCTCCTCCCACTTGTTCCAAAGCTTTGTCCACGACACTCACCCCTGTTAGCGCGGCTACTGCCCGAACTAGACAAGCTGCCTGGTGCGGGGACGCACGCCACCATCCCGCGACCTGGGAGGCTGAGGCAAGAGGATGGCAAGTTCGAGGCCAGCCTCCGCAACTTAGCAAGACCCTGTCTCAAAAAATAAACGTGGTGGGGATGTGGCTCAGGGGTAGAGCGCCCGGGTTCAATCCCCAGTGCTTGGAAAGAAAAGAAAAAACAAAGTGTTTCTTTTTTTTTTTTTCCTCATGACACGTGAAATTAAACAAAGTCCAAATGTCCATGTCCCTCGGCATTGCCTGGGCACCACCACATCCCTCATTCACGTGCTGCCCCCAGAGGGTGGCTGCCAAGGTCATGTGGCCACAAAACTAGAAATATTTCTCCTCTAGTCCTGTAGGGGAAAAGCCTGCTCCCCAGGGTGGAATGCGGGTGTGACGGTCACAACCCCGGCCTGGGCATCTCTGGGTGGCCAACCATTGTTCCCAGCAAGAAAACGCGGGTGAGGCGGTCCGCCCCCAGCACAGGGAGAAAGGCCGGGTGAGTGGCCCACGGCCCCAGCTCGCACTCCAACACAAAGCCAGCCCTCCTGCCCGGGGGGGACGGGCTTCACCCCCGTCCTAACCAGGCCCCGTCCTAACCCAGGCCCCGGCTCTGCTGAGGCCAGGGCTTCCCAGGGGATGAGGTCACCCAGGGGGGTTCTGGCAGGAGAGGGTCCCACCCAGCCCAGATACGGAGGACCCAGGGTGGGAGTCCTGGGAAAGCAGATGGCTGCCTGGGTCACCTCCTGTTCCATTGAGCCACGTCCCCACCAGCAGCAGTGATGGCCCTGCCCTGAGCTGTGGACACTGAGCCCCTGAGGACGGGCCCAGAGGTGGAATTCCGACTTGAGTCCTTCTAGACAGGATTCAGTCTTTCCTTGGGCAAAGAAATGAACCTCGGTTCCCTCCTCTGAATCATGGGGACAATAACCCCCTGATAAGGAAAATAGAGGTGACCCAATCATGGCCAGAGACCAGCACCCGGTAGGTGCTCAGTAAATATCAGGGGCAACGTTATCATCTGGGTCTTCCGTGGGGGAGGTGCTGCGACTTGAACCTGGGGCCTCAGGCTGAGCGGGTCCCCCACGCTGAGCCTCACCCTCAGCCCCACGCTTTGGATTTGTACCTTTCTCTTCCCTTCCTGGTCCTGGGGATGAACCCAGGGCGGCTCTACCCTGAGCTACATTCCCAGCCCCACTCCTTTTTTTTTTGAGATAGGGTTTTGCTAAATTGCCAAGGCTGACCTCCAACTTGAGATCCTCCTGCCTCAGCCTCCTGAGTCTCTGGGATTATGGGTCCCTGCCACTGTCCCCAGCTCACTCTGTGTTCAGTTGGTGGCGCTCTGGATCAGGCTGGTGACTTCCCAGCCTCCTCTGACCTCCTGAGTCTCTGCCTCAGCCTCAGGAGAACCCACGGAACACCAGGTCTAGGGGTCAGGGTGGACAGGGCAGGGACCAGGCCCGTGATCTAAAACCAGAAGACTGCTTGGAGTTGTGGCCAGTGAATGGCACATGCCCAGCCCAAGACCTTCAAGTCGTAAAAAAGTCCTGTCAAAAAGAAAAGAGCAGAAGCCACCCAGCAGAGAAGTCCACAGGTGTGATTTGTCCCCAGGGCCCTCAGCTCCCAACCCTGACCCAACAGGGCCATGTGGACGACAGGGTCAGCAGGACAGATGGGGAGGCCTGGGTGACACCCAGATTTGCCAGCTTGCTGTGTAACCTTTGGGAAGCCCCTTGACGTCTCTGGGCTTTGGTTTCTATACAGGGGTCACATATGTTTCATTTCATGCTCTTGTGCCTTTGCTTGAAGATCTAATGTGGGGACACAGGTGGCTAGAGTCTACCCTGGCTCCACCAAGAGCCAAAGAATTAAGCAACCGGGTGGTTGAGGGGACACTTCAAGACTTTTCTGTTTAGTTCGTTAGCACCTGGGATTTCATCAGGGGTCTTTCCCGAATGTCCCCTGCCGTCAAGGCACCTCCTCCTGCAAATGCAGTCAGGACAGGGGGGCTGGCACGGAGTCATGGGCTCAAATGAATGACGTGTGTGGCCGCGTTCCAACAGAAACGTAATTAAGGCCAGGCGCGGTATTGCACACCTGTGATCCCAGCAGCTCGGGAGGCTGAGGCAGGAGGATCGCAGGTTCAAAGCCAGCCTCAGCAAAATTGAGGCCCTAAGCAACTCAGTGAGACCCTGTCTCTAAATAAAATACAAAATAGGGCTGGGGCTGGGGCCCAGGGGTCGAGTGCCCCTGGGTTCCATCCCCGGTACCCCCTCAAAGAAAATGTAATTAGGACCCTTGTTAGCACATCACGAAATTCCTGAGTCATGGAGAGAGCTCTCTTTTGTTCAAAAGCCAGCAGCGTCTGGATTTGCCCCAGGTTGTGTTCCTGGCCCCTGAAACTCATGTCCAGAGACTCTCCTGGTCCACAGTTGGTGCTCAGTGACATCAGCTGTGATTCCCCCTTTCTCCAGGGGGAGACTGACCTTCTATCCTGGCCCCTCGGACCTCGAGGGTCAGCCCCAAGTGTCCAGCATCTGGCCACCGATACCCTCATTGCATCTGTGCTCCTCTTCCCCAAAGACCCTGGTAGCTCACACCAGACCTGTCCCTGGGTGCCGAGGCCACACTCAGCCAGCCTGCACTAAGGCCTCGGGTGGCTCTGGACATCCTGCTCCTATTACTCCCCCAAGTCCCCAGTCAGGCTCGGTCCCAGGGCCACTGCCACACCTCACCAGTGCACCTGTGCCAGGGTGTACCTGCTCCTGCCTCGGTCCACACCACCCAGCCCTCATGTCCACCAATGGGGCTCCTGTAAACCCTGGGTCACTCCCTCCGTCCTGGGCCCCAACCCCTCCCGTGGCTCTGTGGAACCCTGGGACAGCCCACGTTTGCACAGGGACCACCCGTTTCCCTGCCCCAAGAGGCAGCGATTTCACAACCACAAGCCACCTCTCCACCTGTGAACCGGGCATAACTGTCCCGTGGCTCTGAGTGTGGGCCCCGGCAGTGACCCCTGCTGGAGGAGACCCCTGGCCCCTGCGGAGGAGACTCTGTGACCCTGTGAGCAACCCCCGCCTTCATTCCTACTTGGGATCTGCTGTGGCCCCTCCTCCTGCAGACCTCAGGCTGGGGCGACCTCAGGCTGGGGCAATGTGGGGCCCCTGGAGGCGTCTCTGGGCCCAGCAGGTGCTGGAGGGGCCCTCTTGCCTCCAACCCCAGAATCCTTACGGCTCCTCCAGGGGCTCCCTGTCTGAGTCCACGGACCCCCAGGCCCTCGGTTGATCTGGCCTGGAACTACTCACAACCTCTCTCACCACTGTGCCCACCTGACCCAGCAGGATGCCCTGCTTTCTGTCCCTCCAAATCTTCCCTCTCCATTCAGGGCTCAGCTCAAAGGTCACTTCCTCACAGAAACATTCTGTGACCCAACCTGAAGTCCCGGAAACCTCACACTCTTCCCCACACCACTTTTTCTACTCTTTGCTGAACACAGCACGTTACCCTCGGAAAGCCACCAGCTTACCCCTGTCTGTCCCTGCCTAGGAGACCATCAGCACAGGGAGGCGAGGATGTCTGTCTGTTCTTCTTTGTTATATCCAGGACTCCATTCAGTGCCCAGCACATAGTGGATGCTCATTTATACACATCTCCCCAGCCCTTGCTGAGGCTGGCTTTGAGCTTGTGATCCTCCTGCCTCAGCCTTCCCCACTGCTGGGGTTACAGGCATGTGCCACCGCGCCCAGCAATAATAAATGTTTGTTAATGGAATGAATGCACCCCTGCCCGACCCCAGCTTCCTGCCTGGATACTCACATCTGCCATGGGGGTCTGGTTCACAGCCAGGGCTGGAAACGGGGGGCTGATGTAGGTCCCTGTTGATGGGCCCCAGGCCCCAGACACTGTCTCTGCCATCAGGAGCACACAGAGCCGTCTCAGTGCCCCGGAAGACCCAGCCATCTGCTGGCCATCGACCCCACAGCGCCCGAGCCTCACTCCACTTCCCTGTCTGTAGGAAGTCAGCTCCAATGGCAGGTACTCCAGCAGCCTAGGGGGCGGAGTGAGAGAGGGGACAGTGTTACGGAAGATCCCAGGACACAGCAAGAGGGGCTCCAGATTAGCTAAGGTGCTGCCCTCCCTCCTCCCCCTACCCAACCACAGTGCAGACGGAGCTCGGTGAGCAGAGTCAGGGCCCTGGTCGTGTGGCGTGCAGGTCACACGGTGGCCTTCCTCAGTCCCCAGGGAGCCTCCACCAGAACTGCCCCCATCACCGGACACACAGACACCTGGCCGGGGGAACATCAGGGCTGAGACAGGAACACCAGGGCTGGAAGGGGTTTCAGACAATCCAGGGACACATGCCTCCAGGGCCGCGGGGGAGGTAACAGTGGTGGGGACCCAGAAATTCCCCAGAATCAAGGCAAACATCTTCTTGGACGTCCTTGGCCTGTGGCTGCCAGTCTGAGAGGCCAGCCATGGGTCCCACAGCCTGCTAAGCAATCTGTCATTCTGTTTTATAAAGAGCCAAGAGCACAGGGTGCGTGGCACACAACTGCTACTCCAGCGACTGGGGAGGCCGAGGCAGGAGGATTGCAGACAGAGCCTTACCCGGCAATAATAAATATTATTATAAATCAATAAATACTTAGTGAGACCCTGTCTTAAAATTAAAAAGAAGGGGCTGGGGTCGTGGCTCAGCGGCAGAGCGCTTGCTTCGCACGTGTGAGGCCCTGGGTTCGATCTTCAGCACCACACCAAAATAAATAAATAAAATAAAGGTGCTGTGTCCAACTACAACTAAAAAAAAAAACTAACATTAAAGTTAAAAGAAAAAGAGCTGGGATGCAGCTCAGCGATAAAGTGTCCCTGATTTCAATCACCCAGGACCAAAAACAAGAGCGCTAAGCCTTTTACCAGAATACTGCACTCAGTCAAAACCCTGTTCTCATTCCCATCTCACAAAAGAGCAAACTGAGACATGATGCGGTGAAGTCAGTCCTGTCCCCCCTCTGGGCCACTTCTCCCTCATCCAGTTGCCATCACCCTTGCTGCTTTAAGAGTTTGGGACTCAGAGGAATTCTGCAGCCGGCCCAAGGTCACAAGGCAAGGTGGTCGGCCACAAAGTCATCAGCTCCTCTGGTGAGGAAATGAGGCCCAGAGGGAAGTCAATTGCTCAAAGCCACCGGCCTCCTGGCAGTGGTAGGGGGCTGGGGGCTGGCACCTGCCTGTCCCCTAACAACCCTGGATAAGGGCTTCATTTTTCCTTCAAAGAAATTCAACTGGGAGAACTTGGTCCACATGGCCAGGGAGAGTCTGTTTATTTTTGCCACCAGGAAAAACAAGGTCGATGCCAATCTTTTCTTTTTCTCTTTTTCTTGGTGATTCTTTGAACAGATGTTTCTCAATGTCTTGGTGGCTCAGTGTGGAGGGAGGAGGAGGAAGAGGAGGAGGTGGAGGAGGAGGAGGAGGCCCAGGGGAAGAGAAGGGGACCTGAGGGCGCAG